CCTTAGTTTTCTCATCTTTAAAATGAAAATAATACTTCCTATCTTGTTAAATAAGCCCCTATCTGTAAAATGCTTGGAATAGCGTTATGAATAGGAATAGTGTATATAAGATAAGCGCGCATGCAGACAGAGAAACCATGTATATGATTTAGGAGTACCTATAATGCTTTGAATGTTCAAGTGTAAGGTATGAAATACATTTCATAGCTTTACAGAATTTGTCACTTTGAGCCTGTTCCAGTTATCCATGCTACATTAATGGAGCCTATGGTAGAGCTCCTAAAGCTGATAGGGAACATCATCTCTTATTACATTGAGCCATGGACCTCCACAGACACCTCTTGTCAATAGGAAAACAAGTATTATGGCTGCCTCTTTTCAAAACAGAATCTCCATGTCTGTGTTAAATTCAATAATATGGTTACTTTAAAGGGCATGGAAGACATGGTATTTACCATGCAAAAAATAGTGTACCTCACGACAAATTCTAAAATGTTTCTGGAGCCATCTAAAACAGTATTCTCCCGTGTTCCTAGTTGCAATTTCTGATATAACCCACTGCCACAGTGACTGCCAGTGCATGGTAGTGATCTTGATAACATTTGTGATTTCATTTCAACTCTTGATTGGCCTTTAGCAGTGAGAGTAAGTGAGGCTGTCATTCCATCTCCCATCTTTATGAAATTGAATTTTATGAAGGAGACATAACCTAGAGTTTGAGAGGTCTGACTGACATCTTCCATGTGGCTGCCTTGCTTTAGTCACGTAAACAGTGCCCTGAAAGTGCTGGTGCCTTCGTTCAAGCGGGGAAGAGCAGCTGGGAGAGAAAGAAGACAGGGAAGATACCAGGGTGCAGGACACTGCTCTTCCCTGCGACAGTGTGTGCACCTCCAACTCCAGCCCAGTTAAATACACAGCATTTGCTAAACAGGGAACACTGATAATGGTAATTACATTGTTAACTCACGGCTTCAAATGGGGAGAGGACAGGGGTATTGGAGTGGCATTTTACTTCGTTTTTAATTCACAGAATAAAAATCCATACAAAGATACACAACTATTTATTAACACCAAAACTGAACGCTACCTAGATGTTACTTCTCTGATAATGATATATGAGGCATGTTTTTGGCCTCCTTATCAGCTTTTCAAGCAAAAAAATCTGCAATTTTACCTAGTTGACAAATTTCAAATTCTCCATATGGCAGCTTTAATATGTTTAATATGATTGTGCTGTTAAAAAATGGCAATAGAGTTATCTCTAGAGAAAGTAATTTGCTATGAGAAAGCAATACCATATGATACATGAAAGCAAGAACATTGCAAGCTATTTTTGTTATTTGGCTTTAACGGAGCTCTCGAATAAAAAGTCAGTACTGAGCAAATAGATAATGCTGATGATGAACTTAGCAATGTATTCTACCCAATTCCTAAAATCCCTTATTAAATATAGTCAACCTATTCCTCGTCTGCTTTTCCATGTTTTGGTAATATTAGCCACGCCATGATGTCATTGTCTACATGTACTTGCTACAGGAATAGGAGGAGATTTGGAAATGGATCAGAATCAAAGCATAGCTCTATAGTGAGGGTGTCATTCCAACAGCTACACCTGGGCCCTCTTGAGAGTTTTAAGGATTTCTGCCCTAAGAACCATTTCAGATACTAGCATATCTCATAAGACTAGTTCTTCCAGATAACATATAAATTGTCTGATTCACCTTGTCGCCTATTCCCACTCCCACATACTAGTGCCTCAGATATACTCTGTGTTGCTCAATACTTATAATACATCATCAAGCCATATTGGAACATGAAAAAATATAATAATATAGTCAATCATTAATTATCTAAAAGAAGATAAAGTAATCTCAGTAGATGCAGAAATAATAATTGATAAAGATCAGTCCTTATTTATATTAAATAGTAAAAACCTCATAAGTGATGGTAATAGAAGGGAACAGTATTATTTGCGGAAAGCAACAAATTATGCATTTATAATAGGCTAGGGTTCAGAAACCAAACACCACCAAACATACTTTATATAGAGTGAAATAGGCATGAAAGAGACTCCTTCCATAAGACTTTTTATATGAAAATCACGCACTCAACAGCAGTATATTGCTTTCCAAGGCTTACAAATATACAAATGTTTGTAAGGCAGGTGAGTGAAAGGGTAAAGTATATCACAGAGGGTCCAGCGAGAGAAAGGAGACCAACACTGAGAACATGGGTTGAAAGAGGCAAGTAAGAAAATAAAATGAGCAAAACAAAAACGGAGCTTGGCCTTGACCAATGATGACATAATATCATGCTGTGATTAGAGATTCTCTGCATTAAATAAATAAGGTAAAAATGTAGCATATGTCTTGTAAGGAGCAGAGGTCTGCAACATAAACTGTGAAAGGGGTTTGTTTCAGAACCAGGCGTGACTGGAGTCCACCCAGTAAGGACCAGCACAGGGGCCATGCACAGAGACTACATTTCTGTCCTACCACTTGCCAGTTTTCAGACCTCAGTGGACCACTTAGCCATACCACCTCTTAGACTTCTTAATATGAAAAATGGGACAATAATATTTACCTCCCTGGGTTTTGTGCAGAATCAATGAGATCATACATGACTTGTGAATAGTGTGAATGCCCAGCACAAATTGTGTTTTAACAAATACTTGCTCTCTTTCCTCCAACCCCACACCTCCACCTAGTCATTGTATAGTTGATGCACATTTTATTGGAAGGGATTCTTAGACAAAACTGTAACTTCTATAGATTATAACTCCCTTGATACTCACTGAATTTTTTCAGAAAATCTTTCCTTTTTCAGTCCTAGCTCTAAATTACACAATCTGTGACAAAGCTACTTATGATGGCTAACAGGGCCATTCAAAAAGAGAGGAAAATGCAGAAATGTTGTAAGTGAAGAATTGCACATTAACTTATTCAGTCTGCATAGCCTTGTAAATAATGTTCGATAAAACTATTAGTTCTGTCATGAAAAAAGGCTGACAAATGTTGCCGTAACTTCATTTTAGCTTTGCAGTCATAGCAAGTATATTATCATCTATATATTTTTTATAATTAACGATGCTACTGCTATTTTCTTCCATAATTGAAGCATTTACTGAAATTGCCCACTGTTTGACTGATGTGCTTCGTACTCTGTACTTTTTCCCTGTTGTGTCCCTACAGTTACGATGCTCAAAATTTATAGTTTAGATTCTTCTTGCTGCTGTTTTACATTCCTACTTACTGATTATTCATGGGATGGGGATAAGAGAAGCCTGTTAGTGAGCTTTTACGTAGGTGATTAGCAATGATGCTCTGAGAATACGACACCATTGACGCATTCTGCCTCATGTCACAACGGGTCTCCTTTATATGAAGCGTCAACTGCATGGTAACAGTTGAAGGAATGTTTCATCAGAAGGCAGTTCAAGACTTATGAGGCTGGAGTTATGCGCAGGTTCCATGACGGTCTGGTTGTTAATCAACCAGAATATTGCGGTCCGCTGTTGGGACTCTGCTGGCATTTGTGGATGTAGATTGTGCGGGGTAGAAGAGACTAGATGCTCTCCTTGTAATCACTGCCATGACTAAGTGAAAATGAAGATTTGAGTAGGCAGGGCTGTTCCTGTTGCAACCATTCCAGCGGTACCCAGTGTGCCTTAGAAAATGCAGGTGTTATGCAAACAGTCGTCATGAGCTTATTTTCTCTTCAATGCCTGATGGAAAATGTGCTGCTCAGTGAAAGGAATGGGAATGGTGATCATTCGAGCAGTCTTCAAACCGAGCTACACGTATTTCATTTAAAAGCTCACAGTTTCAAGAGTTAGTATGTCCTTCTGACAAGAAATAAGTTTAAACTGTAGTGATGTTAGTAACAGGGGTTGTACAATAATTTTCCTTTAAAATCTGAGTGAGAAAAGCATTGTAGACTCTTTGTTTGGAACATCAGGTCCTTTCACTGTGTTTTACTCTGAACAGGCAGCTTGTCATTCCACCTGAGGGCAGGCAGGAAGGGTAGAGCTGTGTTTGACTCACACCATCCCTCCTTGCCTTGTTAGACCTGAAGGGAGGCTCACCAGATCTCCAGGTTTCACTTCTCAGTTTAAAATGGCACTTCTGAACCAATCTTAGTTTTATTTTTTAGTCTTTTGCTGTTTGGTTGCTTATTTGGTTGATTTGCTTTCTCCTCTCACTACTTAGATAGTCACATGTGTCTTAACTGTAACATTATAAGCACAGATGAGTGTGGGAGAATTTGAAATGACTTAAGTCCCTTGCTTTTATAACAGTAATACTTTTTTATTTTTATTTCCATTGGAATGAAAATCCCATTTTTAATTCCCTTTTCGAGCCCTCTTTTTACCTGGTTACTATAGGTAACTGGGTATGACAAAAATTCATGCTTGAATGACAAAAATTAATACTCTTAGGGTTAGAAGGACCCTAGATATGAATTGGGAGCCCTATATTTTGCAAATGAGTAATCAGACCCCTGGAGGAGGAAAATTACTTCCCGGGGCACTGCAGCTGCTTAGCGGCAGATCTACGTGCAGAATTCAGGTCTCTTGACTTACTCAATAGTTCTTTTACTTCTATATCAACACCCTTTTTTCTGTGTCCTTACATAACAACATTGAGCAGATACTAACAACAAACCCTTCATGTGGACTTCGGGAACTTTCTGTTTGATGAGTTCAAGTGCTTGACAGTGACTATGACAATATAGTTTATCCTGTAACTGCACAGATGACATCCCATGGATACTGCTTGAAGTCTCCACAAACTCATCCCTGAGAGGATTATTAGTGTCTATGGATCCACAGCTCTCATAGTTTTCAATTGAAATATACCTCAAAATGTCATTCTCACTGTTAAAGACAAATGTCAGATATGGCACCACAGTTATAATTGCTAGTTAGAGTGTCAATGTGATCCTTTTTAAAAAATCTTTCATCAGAGCGCTCATCTTTATATCCTGTTTTGCTATTCTAGGTTTGCGTGCTGGAGAGGCAAATATTTGACTTCCTTGGATATCAGTGGGCACCTATCCTGGCAAATTTTGTACATATTATTATCGTCATTCTTGGTTTATTTGGAACTATTCAGTATAGACCTCGTTACATAAAAGGGGTAAGTACCCTTCCTGCCTTTTAAAAATGTTATTGAAATACAGAAAGATATGAAAATGTCTTAAAAATGTATATGTATACCCTTTCCTTAAAGTATTATGTGTTTGTTTTCATAGGTTCAAATTACATCTACAGTAACTGAAAATGTCATTTAAAGCTCTTGACAGAGAATGTAATCAGGTGGTTTTCATAAACTACTTTCATCAAATTTTGTTTTGTATTTAAAAGCAGAATTATGCCCTGTATTTCCAAATTACAAAGTCAGAGCCTCTGATTTAATAGACTTACAGGGAATTTAAGGATAGTTTAAAATTAATACAAATAAACTTATAGTTTCAGTGTGAAAATATTAATACACATTAGGGTTAATACTTGACATAGTTGAAAGCCAAAAGAGCCTGGGCCAGTATGTCTATGTTCTCCATGATTTTCTTTTTGGCTCAGAGGAAGTATTTTGCATTCCCACTCAAGTTAAACTTACTTAACATAAAAGTGAAATCCAACAGTGTTGCAGTTGCTATGGGAACCGTAACTTAGGATTTTTTCCTTTTGTATGTGCCTCAGATCTCAGCTATAGCTCTTCATTAGTGTAGTTTTTTTCAGTCTCATCATTTTTTCTATTTCTTTTCTTTTTAACAAAGGAAAAGTCTATAGGCATTTAATTTAAAATTATAAAGCGGGTTTGTGGTAAAGGCATATGTAGAAGACAGAACAGGTAAAGCTCTGCCTTACCCAACACAAAGCAGCAGGCTGTCTGGGTTTCATGAAGCCCTCCCTCACATAAAAGATGCCTCCTATGACCTGCTCTCTTTGTCATCTGGAACTCAGATAATGCTCCTTGGTTCAGAAATAGGCAATGGGATAGCAGGTGGGACCCAGGGATTAACTATCTGGCTAAGAATGAGTGAAGAATTCATAGTCCTCTCTAAGTACACACCCAGGAATGAGTGCGTGTCATATCTAAGGCTACGTAGCCATGCACATCTTGTAAAAAGAAGGATATGTTCTATTTCAGAGTGAAGTTTTTTAATGCACAGGATATTGGTAGTGTAGTTCATTTTTAAATATAAATTGTAATTTGATCCAATATAGTCACAGTATTGCAGGGATGGAAGTGGGTCTTCTGAAGTCATAATACCTGGGTTGAAATCTAGCATCTGCCAAACTCTGTGTGACTTTAATATTTTTATTTATTGATTGATTTTAGAGAGAGAGAGGGAAGGAGGGAGAGAAAGAGAGAGAGAGAGAGACCTTGATTTGTTGTTCCACTTATTTATGCATTCATCAGTTGGTCCTTGTATGTGCCCTGACCAGGGATCCAACCTGCCACCTTGGTGGTATCAGGATGATGCTCTAACCAACTGAGCTAAACTCTGTGTGACTTTAGACAGCATAACCTCACTAATCCTTAGTGTTCCAGTCTTTAAAATGGAAGCAATAATTATATTAATTCATATAATTTAATTAATTGATATATTATAAGCCATTATATGAAAGATTTATAATTTAACTTTTATTTTTTTAATAAAAGACTTCGAGGTTTCTCCATGATTTTATTCTTATAAATGATGCCACTCTGATCATTATACAGATAGATATGTTATCTCCATTTCTGATGAGGTTCTTGGGATAAAAATCTAGATAGGGATCAAAATGTTTGTAGAGTTTAAAAACTCAGAGGTTTGTTTTGAGGAATAAATGAGATATTCTGTAAAATATATTTAGCACAAAGCTTGGTGTTTAAAATTGGTAAATAAGTCCTGGCTGGTTTGGCTCAGTGGTTAGAGTGTCAGCCCGTGAACTGAGATGTCCTAGGTTCGATTCCCGCCAAGGGGACTTACCTCGGTTGCAGGCTGGATCCCCGGCCCGGTTGTGTGGGAGGCAACCAACCAATGTGTCTTTCTCACATCGATGTCTCTCTCTCTTTTCCTTTCTCTCTCCCTTCCACTCTCCGAAAAGCAATGGAAAAAATATCCTCGTGTGAGAATTAAAAAAATAAAATAGGTCAATAAATGTTAGCCGTAATAGCTTTCTCCTTCTTGTTGTTATTATTTGAAAATAATACTAAACTGTATGGACTAGCAATAGGCTGACAGGCAATTTAAAATAGAGTAGGGTGTTCCAAGCTGTTAGCTGAACTATTTCTAACCCTTTTATTCCAAGCTGCTGCAACTCTTAAAAAATTTTTATGTGAATTCTATGTATCAAATTATAATCCCATCCCTGTAGATAAAATACATACCCACAAATCTTTTCAAGACAGGCTGCTCTCTGTAGCATGAAAGGTAAAAGAAGGATGCCATGGGACGTCTTTAAGATGGTTAGAACTGTTGTATACCTCAGAAAGTCTCTGATATCTTTCGGAACCTTAACAATGTGTCTTAGAGCTACATCTTTGATTTGATCTTGACTTGCAGACAGAATTCTGAATTTGATCTTTTCCTTGAGACATTGTCTTACTTGGAAAATCTTTTGCCAGCTGGAGATACTGTAAATGTGAACCTTTTATTTTCTAAATCAGGAAGTCCTGAGTTGGAAATATATCCTCTAAATTACACTTGAAAAAATTAATTGTTCTTTTTTTGCTCTTTTTTCTCTTAAATGTTATACGTGGCAGTAGCACTGTCCGTTGTTTGCTTGGAAACTCTCTTATCCAGATTCACAGGTTTTTAGGTATATTTTCGGTCTCCCAGTTACTGCAGGCTGTAGTCAGGCTAATTGTTCTGGCAATACTCACCGTGAGTCCTCCTGTTCGGGCCCTCAAACAGCTTCCTTCCTGTTGTTCCCGCCTCCGCCAATGGACTCCTTGCCGCCCCCCTGGCTTCTACCTGCCACCTTGTCTTAAAACGAATGCTGTGTGCTTTGGATTTGTGTTACTGTACCACTCAAGCTTTAGTACCAGTTCACCTTCTAGTTATCTATTTCAGTGTAATGTCTGTGTAGCAAACCATTTCTGTATAATTAAATGCATGGAATCCAATGGCTCTAATGCCATGTTGCAGGTCGAAAGTGCATTCTGGAAAACAGATAATTTCCCATCAAATAGAATGAAGATTTTTTTTTTTTAATTAACTTAAAGATGGCAAAAAAATACAATTAAAAGAAATTTGAATGGCATCATAGATGACAAAAATTGTCATCAGTGAAGGATCTGGGTTTGCCTAATTGAGGACAAGGCGCAACCAGCAATAATGTATTGCTGGAGTTAAGAAATTTTCACAGGCCGTCTGTGCAATGGAAACTTATTCATGGTGAAATTTATTCCTCTTTCCTCTAAAAATGTAGGTCTTTATGCTTTCTGTATTTGCCATTTTATATTTTGAGTTATAAAACAACTCAGCATAAGCAAACACTAGGATAATTTCACAACCAAAAATTATTATTAATGTTTTAGCTTATTTTCTTCATTACATGCAAATGACACAGCTAATTGTTACATCTTCAAATATATCTTAAGTTCTTTATTTAATGTTATATCAATTTGAAATTTATACGACCAAACTCATTGTTCATTTAACCTGTTACACTATTGTTGTGTGTTATGCTATATAACATAATATATAATATATATCATGTATTATATATTATGTATTGTGTTATATATATTACATATTATGTTATTTCCATGTTTTTATTATAAATAATTCCCTGTTATCTCCATTTGAAAATCCTAATCTTTATTTGTGATTTAATTCCTTAGGAGGCATTTGCTAGGTAAAATGAAATAATATGAACAATTTTAAGGCTCTTAGTATATAATTGGCAATTACCTATTGCAAATTACTTTACTGAATTTTCCTCCCACCAGTGTACAGCAAAGACTATTATTTCACTGCACTCTGGCTAACCCTCAATATTATCTGTTCTCACTTTTGTTAATCTGATAAGAGAAAAAAAGTAATTTTTTATTGCATTTCTTATTTTTACTGAGTTGGACTTTTTCATACGCTCATTAACTATTTTTATTTCCTTTTGGGGGGATTATCTTTTGGTGTTCATTGTTCAGTTTTTTCCCTGGCTTCTTAGTGTTTATATATATGGATCACATAGTGAAGATATTTGCTCTTCAAATTTTATAAATATTTATTATTTTTCACTTATTAATATGAATATCCCTTTGTTTTGTGATATCTTCTATTCCTTTAAAAATGATAAAATTTATGTATCGTTTGAAAAGTGTAATGTCAAGGCTTCATTATCTTTAGTTCTAAATTTACTAAAAAAAAAGGCAGATGCCCTGAAATAGAGTTTAAGGAAATGTGTCCCTTTGCTGTTTATAAAAAGTTTTGTTTATTGATGGGACATTTTATTCTACTTAACTGAAAAAAACCCCCCCCCCCAAAAAAAAAACATGTTGACTTTGTCTGAAACACTAAACACAGTAGCAACAAATAAAATGTAGAGTATCGGTATGCTTAAGATTAAAGAAGAAAAAAATTTAAATTTAAAACGGTTAATTGGAACAAGAACTCATTAGTATTTTTTGAAGGCTTCTGGCTTTCAAGCAGGGTAGTATGTTAAAGTAAAATAAAATTGATTATTTCAATTCCAAGCAAAGGAACTCTGAAGCCAGAATTCATAGAAAGCATCTCTACTGTGTAATTCTCTACAGCATCAGTCCAAAAAAAAAAAAAAAGCCCCAATTAACTCTGGTGGAATAATTCGTAACTAAATACATACATACATGGCTCCCATGAAAGCATTACCTTATTTCATAAATGGGATTGTATAATGCATCTTCTTTTGGGCCTAAGGCAAGCAAAATGTAATTTGGGATATCCAGTGTTTATTAGTTAATGACAGGAAAATGTTAATGAGTTACACTGCTTTAAACTTTCTAAAATAACCTGAAGAGTATGTAGGTTTCTAATTGCTAAAGGCACAGCAATATTCTAGGTGATACTGCCAAAGGACATGTTGCTATAACACTCAAAAACATTTCTTTTCCTCCCTCTCCCTCCCTCCCTCCTT